ATTTTTCGTTTCGATAAATTCAGAAATTCGTGGTGTTGATGCAGTTGATGAAGGTCTTGAACTGACACGTGCGTTTACTGGCGTTGTCGATGGTACTGATGGAGGTTTTGAACTGACGTATTCATTCATTGTTGATGTTGATGCAAAGGCTGCATTTTTCGTTTCGATAAATTCAGAAATTCGTGGTGTTGATGCAATTGATGAAGATTTTGAACTGATGCGTGTGTTTACTGGTGGTGTTGATGCAATTGATGGAAGTTTTGAACCAGTATATGTAGTCATTGATGATGGTACTGATGGAGGTTTTGAGCCGATATATACATTCACTGGTACTGGTGATACAATGGATGGATTTTTTGTTACAATAAATTCAGAAATTGATGATGCTGATTTAGCTAATGAAGTTTTTGAATTGACGCGTGCATTTACTGGTGGTATTGGTGGAATTGATGAATTTTTCGTTGCAATAAATTCAGATATTGTTAGTGCTGGTGTAACAGTTGCATTCAATGACTAAAAGAAATAAAAATATTTATCAAGCATTTATAATATAATTGAAAAATGAAATTTATGATGAAAGATATTTATCGAATGGAATATTCAATTAATTCTAATCAATATCAATTTTGAATTATTATTTAAAAGTGTTATACGTTCTTTTTCCTTTTTTTTTTTTACCAAAATTTTTTAAATAAAGAAATAAAAAAATAATAATAAAATCTTACAGAAAGAATAGGTTTGCTAGTAGATTCAAGAGTCAATTCAGAATTTGGAGTAGTTTCTCTTGAGGATGTCATTATAGATTCAGTTGAAACCGAACGAGACCGTTGACCATTAGTTGAAGGTAATGGTACATTTACAAATAATGGTTTTTTTTCTGATGATGGTTTAGATGGTACAACATTTTGTCGAACTAAATGAAGAATAGATAGAAATTAAAAGAGAAAAATAATATTTACCTAAATTTTGTGATGCTGTTGTAGAATTTATGCTTGATTGAGATTGTAATTTAAGTTGTTCAAAAAATTCTTTTTGAGATGTTTGAAGTTGTTGAATTTCATCTTTTAATTCACTTATTTCATCTCGAAGTAAAACTGATTGATTACGAAGACTTTCAACATATGTTGGTGTTGATGATGAACATTGAGAATATGATGTTGCTGTTGTTACTGTTGTTGCTTCTGTTACTGATGATTCACCTGATAATTGTCGAATTTTTCTTTCATATTCTTTAAAATCATCTGTTGATGTTATTTGATTACGTTTTGATACTGCTTTTGGTTTTTTAACATAATAACGTCGTTCAACAATACGTTCAACCCCATAAACAACATCATGTGATCTAATAAAGAAAAAAAGATTTTTTTTTTTCTTAATGTTTAAAGAATCATATCTAAAAACATTTACTGAGATCTTATAGGTTCATGAGGTCTTTTTGAACGAATATCTTCGAATTTTTGTAAAATTTTTTCAAAAAGCCAATCATTATTTTCATCTCGGAATACTCTATCTGCATCATATCTGCAAAATAAATTCTTTAATAGAATTATTCATATTTTTTTTTCTTTATTTTCTACTTACGAATTGTTACTACTTGTAGTAGGTAATCGTTGTTGTTGTTGTTGTTGTTGCTGCTGTCGTTGTTGTCGTTGTTGTCGTCTAGTCGATGTTGCTTCTAGAAATTCGTTAGAATTTTGTATGGAACATATGGATAACATTTTGAATCTGAGATAATATTATATCTGTAGAGTATATTTATGTAAAACATTTGTCCTTCTTTCTTTTCGTACACAATAAAAAATCGATAAGAAACGGCCTCGCATTCAGGGTATAAAGAAAAAAAAAGAGGTTATTTTACCTCGAAGGAGTCGTTGAATGAAAATATCATGAGCTGATTCCAGTTGACTACGTCTTTTTAAGATATTATCATATTCACTAACGAATCTTTCTTGTTTATTAAGTTTACCATTTAACATTTTAGTTAATTTTTGAGAAGATTCTTCTTCAGATGAAGTTTTACTATTTTTTCGTAATCGTGAATGAGTTGTTCCATCAAATGATGAGTTTTTTGGTAAAGAATGTAAACCAGATAGCATATTTATAAAATTATTTCAAATGAGACACTTTTATTCGATGTCAGATAATTTATACAGACTTGAATCATACACCTACATAGACTGTACGCATGATTGCATCTTTGTTATTAAACAAGGACAGCAATAATTAAGTGTAGATGTAATATAAATAAACATTGATATTTTTATTTTATTTTTTTTGAAAAATTTATTGCACGAAAGAGAAAAATTTCAAAGCAAAAAGATAGATTTAAATATGTTGAGATTTTGCACGTTCAGCACATGCTATAGCTTTACGTATAGTATCAGGACATTTTTCACGTCGTACTAATTTATTATTTTCAAAATGTCCTTCATTTCGTGGTAAACCATGTGAACCATCAGCAAATGTTAAAAGACCTAAACCAAAAATTTTTCCTTCATGTAATTGTCCTTCATATTTCATTCCATCACAACGTGTAAATACACCTAAACCATGATAACGACCTTGAGAAAATTCACCATCATATCTAAATGAAAATAAGATTGTTTTTTTTGTTCTTATTTTGTTTTGTTAAATTATTACTTTGATCCGTCAGGATAAGATATTGAACCAAGACCAGAAAAAAGACCATTTTCAAATCGACCACGATATTTCGCTTGATCACTAAATGTTAATTGGCCAAGGCCATGTCGTTGACCATCTTCATTCCATTCGCCTGTTGATTTTTTTATATTTTTAATTATTAGAAAAAAAAATCTTTTTTTATCGTTTAAGTTTTTTTTTTAATTTTACCTGTGTATTCAGATCCATCAGGATATCGAAATGTACCTTGCATACTACTTTATTTTTCTTCTACAATAAAAAAAAAGAGAAAAACATATTCTATGCTCCTACCATTAGCATCGTAGACTAGTAGCATTAAAAAAAAGGAAAAAAAACGCATGTGTGTTCACATCCGCGTACGCCTATCTATTGAGAGTCAGATAGGGATGTTTGTTGCACACAGAACAAAGTTCAATAAATGCAGAAGAGGAAGAAGAAAAAAAAGGAAGAAAATGAATAAAACATTCAGTTCATTTTATCATCCTTCACTGTTATATATATATACATATATATATATATGTACAAAAGAGAAAAAATGTTGACTGTGTGCGCACGATTTGAATGTTTGTTCTCGCCGATCAAATGAAAATTTTGGCGTAGTTATATTGTTGATTAAGTTTCTATATAATTAATTACAGAACAAAAAAAAAAGATAATGAGATTGCCAATATTTATATATATATATATATATATATATATATATATATATATATATATACATGTTTTTCCTTTCCCCCATAGATTTATTCTCACAGAATATCAGATAGCGCATGTGCATACAATTTCATTTTTCTATCTGTATCTAAATCAGTCAATTTCGATGTGATTAAATCAATAGATGATGTTGATGATGTTGACATTGTTGTTGTTGCTTCACTGGCTAGTTCATCATCATTCTCTTCAATATCATCCATACGTCCAAGACCAATATTTGACATTGATCGAGCTAATGATGGTCGATAATTCGATGCCTGACTTCGAGTCAATAAACGTTTAGGTGGTTCATTCATTGTTTTATCTGTATTGGTTAGATTTGGTAAATTTAATGATGATATTACGGATAATCGACTTATTTGACGACGATGCTTTTCACGTACATATTCACGTAAAGAATCTTGTAAATGATGATGAAGTAAATCACTAAGAGATTTAGCATCATTTTCACTCGAACATAAACATGCATGACAACGAAGCTAAAAAAGAAAGAAAAAAGAATTTGAAGGACATATATTTTTATAACTTTCATCTCACCTCAGTCGTTAAACCTGATCGAACATTAACATGTCTATAAACCCAAATAAACATTTTTGGATTAAGTTTATCAGCAATAAGATAATATGCAATACGATTTGTACAATAAAGTGTAGTATCATTTGGTGTTCCTGTTTTTATATAATTGTCTGCTTGTAAACCACCATTTGTAACCGTTAAACGAAGCTTTCTTCCTAAACGTCCTTGGTTTTTTATATGCATATCCCAAAGAATTTTGGCTGGTCGATCAGCACAACCATCACCTCTTGTTAATGATGTTGCTACATTTCCTAAATAATAAACTTTAAATGACGATGGACGTTGATTAACATCAAATGATGCTCGTCGTTTGTTGCCCAACAATCGATTCATGTAATGTACTATTAAAACGAATAAATGATCTGAACAAAAAAAAAACTTATATATATATATATATAAATGTGTATGTATGCATAAAGCAAATAAAAAGAAAAGAAAAGAAATGTATTGGTTTTTATAAGAAATATGAACTTATGTCATAACCTCGAACAATTTAAGCTTTGAATGAGAAAGAAAAAAAATATAAAGTATGATCTCAACACGTATGCTCATTAGTAGGATTTTCTTTTTTATTTCTTGTCCGTAATCGAGATTACCCGACAGAAACAAACTTTCTTTTGTCTTTCATCATGGATGTCATAATAGAAAGGCATATATACGTTTTATTTTTCATCTTTATCTCACCTGTATGAAATTCAGCACGAGTTCAGTTTGCTGATTTTTCTTTTCTCGAAGATGTTATTTTCTTTTTCTTTTTTTTTCATTCTTTCATATACACGTACGTGTGTTGAGTACTAAAATTGTTCTTTCTATCACTTCGGTCAACATGTGTTTTATGGACGTTGACCGATGTGAGAAAAAAGAAAAAAAAAATTTAGAACTGCACAAAGATCAATAGATGTCATTATCGTTTTCTGTTTCTTTTTTAACTACTTATCTATACGGATAAGTACATGCGTATTTTTTTTTAATATAGCAAATATTCTATTTTCAAGAGTATTCTATGAAAAAGAAAGGTGTATATATATATAAGAATATGAAAAATTATAATTTGCACTTTTTTTTGACACGACTTTACTGATTTGTTTTCACTTACAAATCGATGAAGGTCAGATAACTTTTAGTAAATATGATAGCGCATTGGGCTGCTTTTTTGTATATTTTAAAAAGGAAAAATGTAAAATATCAAAACGTGTTTTAATAAAAATATTTAAAGGAATGTACGTTATACATCAATGTTAGTTATTCGAATGAAATCAGTGTGAACTTTATCCAATTGCATATCTAGAGTTTCCATAATCGAGAGCATTTCTCTGCAAATTTTCATATGAAAGAATCATGTGATATAAGTCAATTCCGTTTCAGTATATGTATATACGTGGATAATTCATTTTGAAACTCGTTCCTATAAATAATTTTTCTTTTGTACAATATTGAGGAGACTGTAGTAAATCGTTTTTCTGATAATTTATGAGTTCTCTGCTTGCAAGACATGTGAAGGTGTGTTCTTATTATCGACGGAGGCATTACTCTTGTATTACATTGATCTTTGTATCAAGGAAATCTGAACATGTGTTTCAAAATATTTAGTTGCTATGCATTTTTTACATGTAATGGATTACTATTGTTTTTTCAAAAATACTAGGTACAATCAAATCACAATGAGAGATTGCATGCCTTTTTTTTGCGTTTCGAAAAAAGTGATTTTATTAGATCAACTACATTCAATTTAATCAATATAATAAAAAGCTTTTTATATTTGATAATTCACCGAAAAAGAAAACCAACAACAACAAATTAATTTTTCAATACATACGCAACTGTTTCAGTGTAAGCAGGCGAATGATGAACTTGTTTAATATCTTGAAGCTTATTCAATATAAATAAACATTTGTAAGAGCCGATAATAATGGCAGTAAAATGATCACTTTCAGGGTTGATTGTTGTTCGTAAATTATGTCTATATAAAAAACAAACCATACTTCATTTTTTTTCCTTATTTTAGAACGGCAACACTACGCGTCAATGAAGATTAAGTTATTAGATGGTGATATGACAGGTTCATTTCAGTAGAAAACATCTTATTGATCTTTGCTCATGATATCACCATCTATTCATAAATTGGAACGTACATCTGCAGACTTCTCTTTACAGCTCTCCACATTTCGAGAAAATTTGTCCTGATATAATGACATTGTCGACAAGAATACCTATAAGATGTGCCATCGCCAGAAGATTTCATGTTTCCGACAACTTGTCTATAATACATTTAGATTGTAATGAGTGCTTTTACTGCGAGAACAACATGAATTTTAGTGAAAATAGGCGATGCCAGACGTTGAAGCCATACACTTCGAAAACGATAAGCGATGACGTCGTTCTAGTTGTTGAGTCAGTTCAGCTGTTAAAGATCAGTCTACCGAATGTATGTCCATTTGCATATGATAGAAATTTGGCAGTTATTTTAGAAAAACAGATGAAAACTCAAGAGAAAAGCATTCGAAACACAGAAAATCTGGGAGCTCAAAGATAAGATTCGAACATACATGCTTTATTTTATAAGGCGAACTTCTTCACCATTTGGCCATCTGCTTACATTAGAAGTGCCATTAAGACTGAAGGACATAATGACCATCTGATAACTACTAAGTACTATAAATAGGAATGCTAATAACTGTAGATGACTTCGAAAAATTAAATAAGGTTTTGAAGCTAAGATAGTGCGGATATATGAGAGCGATTTCATTTCAATGGGAATTAAATAAATATACCCAATAGAAAAAAAAGCTATATTCTTGCGTGGAGCAATACGCACACGACAAAATAGCTGAAATTTGTATGTCGACACAGTCATTTTAGCAGTAGTTTTCATAAATACGACCCTTTTACATTGATATGCAAAATTTAGGAAAATTCTAGTCATCTTGCTTATACACGCTAATAACACTTTGGCATTCGCATGCAAGTCATATATCGTGCAAAAATACGCAAAAATATTCCATGCAATTATTTGCAAGGATAAGAGTCATGCACGGTATCTTATGTTTTGCTAAAAAATTTACAAAAGTGTATTTCTATGCATGTGTTTTGCGACATGTACGTCTATGCATGTGTTATTGTCTTGCATTTATGCGCAACAATTGTAAGTATTTTGACTGGAACCAGTAAATGCGATGCCTTGGTTTTGCATGTACTCAATTATTTTTATTCTCACATCATCGGGAGTATCGTACAAGTTAACAAATACATCCATTTTATGTTTTAATCGGTGAATGGAAGCTATATTCTGTCTTATGTTTGTGGTTAGATATATAGTTTGGACATCAATATTTGGATCTAACTCTTTCAAAACTTGCTCAGCATCGTGTGGAAGCATTATTACAGGTTGGTGATTGTTGCCGCTTGTCGAATCGCTTGAGGAATTACCATGAATAGCTTCAACTGTATAACGTGAAACAATATTGAGAACACAAACATGTTTTATTTTATTACAGTCTTCACCGAAATTAATTGATTTATTTTCGTCGTCAATTACTTCTACTTGTGGTTCATCATTACGCTCAGTGTCTATCAATTCATAAGTGTTATTCACCATCTAAAAATACAAGACAAAATGTATATCAATGTCGCACGGTGTCGTATGAGGCCCCATGCAGCACCCCAGTGACAACTCTACTAGTCCGTTAGTCATCACCGCATATTCTATCGAGGAAGCTATACTTCAACACCGTTAAGACATCTGCGGGTGTGGATTTTCTCTTCACTTACATCCACACACCTCACATTCTTGCTAAAACATACCATCATCGATTTTCAATTCGGATCGACAGTTGGCTGTCTATCAGTAGCCAAATAAATTCGCTTTTTACCTTTGTCCATCCAACACAAATACAATGCAGCATTAAAGCCTATAGTTTGACGCTCTTCAAACAAATATTGATGACACTAATTTACAATGGCTACCATTTAAATGGTCAGTATCAATATTAAATAGTCAATACTAAAATTATCAGCAATTAATTGTAAAATGGCCAGCTTATTAAATATCAGTATCAGTAACAAAATTTCAATTTATATCAGTATAAAATACAACAAATACCAGTAGAAAAATAAGCTGTACCCATAGAAAATAAATTTAAATAAATTAAAGAACTACAGAATATATCAGAAGAAATTTAAAAAATAATAAAAAAAAGCAAAAATTGAATTATTGTATTAGTAAAGCAGATCTACCTGTGCTGGTCTATCTCTTTTTCTTTTCTCACCGGTCGGCACTGTCTTTGTTGCTACTCTTGGTTTACAATATTTCAAATCAATACCCATACCCACAACGTGTTTGCATATATAATTCTTCAAAAAATTTGGACAGTTCCCTTTCGATGTTTTCCCATGTGAATCATTTTCCATTTTCATACATTAAGTATTCAATGATTTTTTTAATATTGATTATATACATTCGATCTGATTTGATTTTATTAGAGAGCAGCTCTAACAGATTTATTTTTGTGTGCATTCATCTTTCGACAAAGGCACTCGTTGGCCTTTCGATTCTGTACTGGCTCGTTGTTGTCTCTTTTCTGTTTGTTACAGCACATCGTCAGTTCCCTTCCTCGACAAACTGTATAATTTATCAACTCTGTTGTTCTCTTTCTCTTGCGTATTGGACAGTTGGAATGAGATAGAAGAAGTGAAATTGGAACTTTATTTTCTCTTGTCTTCTTTTCTTTGTCGTCTGTTCGATTCTATTCTCTCGTGTGTCTAAAAACAACTGTTTTTCTTCGAAAAAAGGGAAAGAAGAAGAGATCAGTAGAGACTAATTTATCACCATAAACAATTTCAGCTTCATGAACATAAAGACGAACAAGATCTTTTGTTGTTTTAACACATTCACCAGTAGCAAATAGAATACCCTAGATTAAAAATTTTGTCATCATTTCACAAAAAATTCAATTAAAATTTTTACTTGAAAAATATTTGAAAGATCTCTTAAATTAAATATATAATGAAATTTAATAGCTGTTGGTAGAAATGTTGCTGCAACACGTTGATGTACAGCAAGTGCACCATCGACTAATTGTGGTGCATAACGTTGTACAGCTTGTGTAAATAGTGCATTTGGCGATGCAGGTAAATATTGAGATAATATACTATTATAAATTGTTCGTAATGAATCCTTAAAAATGAAATGGAAGAATATTTAAAATAATTAGATTTTTATAGTTTTATACTTGTCCAGGAAATGAAACAGCAAAAAATCTTTGAATACGTGAATCAGTTGTAAAATTTCTTGCTGTTGGATTCATACCTGCAACATATTGACAATTATGTATATCACGTAATGTTAGTTTTTGTCGATCATACCAATGTTTATTATCAAGATATTGACGAAGAACAGTATGTGCTTGAACAGTATAATATTTATCGATTTCAGGCATATTCATATCATCTAGAGAATAAAAATCAACCAAATGAAATTTAACTCTTATGAATTGATTTACCAATGAAATAAACAAGTCATTTATTTCCTAGTGGACCATAATTTCGATCTGCTTTACGTTCAAGTGGTTTTTTTAATATTGATTGAAGTATTTCTGATGATGTATAATAGTTAAATGGTACATTAACAACTGTCCATAATTCATTATTTAATGATTGTAATTTATCATTAACAATAACAGTTTTACCACTACCAGCATCACCGACTAACATTACTGGGTAATCTCGTTTCATTAAAAAAATCTATGAAATAAATCAAATGAAATAAAATTTGAGTATATATTGACTTAATATACCCATCCAATATCGAACTCTAACAGTTTCTGGTGTTGGTACTAATGCTGCTTGTAAAGGAACATCAGGATCAAGTTCAAATTTCTGAACATTTTTACTCCATAATTCAAATTTTTTTGTTTCAGGATCAATACAATAATCAAATACAGTTGTATTTGCAGTCGTCGGAAATTTTACAGCTTTAAATTCCAATGTCCACTAACGTGAAAATTCCACACGATGATCTGTTAACTATTCAAACAGAAGAGAAAAAAAATATTTCATTTTTAATTTTTAATAAAACTTTTAAACAATCAATCCTTGTTTATAAAATCATATTTAATACAACAAGAATTTTTGATAACATTTATAATCAAAGCTGATATAGCGATAGCAATTACTCACATCACTATGATAAGCTGTATACTAATTTATTTTTTATATATTAAATAAGATAGGTTTTTTTATTTAAAAATATTTACCTGATCTTGAAATAAAGATGCTCCCATCGGCCAGATACAAGCCCAAACAAAATATTGTTCATAAAGTTCGTTTGCACAATCTGGTGGACAATTTTCTAGTACAAGTAAACATTCAAGTTAATGACATAACATCCATACATGACAACCATCAACAAGTGGTGTAGTTTTTTTAAAATGATTTGATTTTAACATTTCTATACATGTTGGTAAATATTTATCAAATAATATTTGAAGATTAGCACGTTCACTTTGAATAGGACGAGATTCAATCCATGTAGCTACTTGTGGTTTCCATCCAAGATCTTGTGGATTAATATAAAGAATACCAGCACGTGATACAATTGCTGATGCTGCCGTTCTTAAATGACTTATTTCAAAGAATAAACGCATGGTTAGATTTAATGGAATACGTTCATGACTTGCTAATGTTAAAACTTTATTATCATCCATAACTGTATTTAATGATTCAATCCACATTGGATCAATATCACCATCAAGTACAATCCGTTTTGGACCATCATGTGTCATATTTGCAAGATCTCTCATTATTGTTGAAAATAATCCATCTTTCCATTCACGTGTTGTTGGATTTATAAAACCAAATAATTCATTATTTGTAACAGTTTTTGGATCAAGATCAATTGCAACAGATCGTCGTTTATGATTTATATACATTTGATTAAGTGTTTTCCATATTTGACTTTTTCCTGTTCCAGCATTACCAACAATAAATACCGGATTACGAACTTCAAAAAGTTCTTTTAATTGAACAACTTTAAGAATAAATACATCTTTAGATTGAAGTTTAAGATCTAATGCAGCACGTTTAACTTCTTCTTCAAATTTTAAATCATGTTTACATGGAACATCAAGTGCAGGAAATAAATCTCCAAGAAAACCCATGAATATTGGTAAATTATTATGAACAATTTTTGGTATATTAAAATTACGTAATGCTCTCATTAAAAATTCTCGTTCAGATCGATTTGGGTCAGCACGACGTAACGCACTAGCAACAACTAAAACTGATTTAACAGCTCGTAAACTCCAATCATAATGATGTTGTTTTGATAAAAGTTCTTTACATAAATTATATAATGTTATAAATTTACATGATAATAATTTTCCATCTTTAAAACCAGATGTAACAAGCATTATTTCACAAATCATTTCAATATCTGGTACAACCATAGCACATGGACGAAATAATGCTTTTAAATTTCCAGGTAATTCTGTTCGACCAGCATAACCAGGATTCATTGTAATAAAAAGACCAACATTTTGATTAAGACTAATTTCAGTACCCATAAAATTAAATCGTTGTTTTCGATCACGAATTGCATCTTGAATTGTTTTTACTTGTACAGAAACGACCTATTGAAATATTTTGCAAACAAATTTATGTAATAGAATTTTTAAACTTACAGAAAGTGCTTCAATGGAAATACGATTGAATTCATCAAAACATCTTCATGCATCTGTTGGTGATAATCCTTTATAAATATTTCCAATGATTGATAATCCATTTGTTCAGAACAATTATATACATAAACCATTACATCTAATGCTCGTCCTAAATCTTTTGTTGTTTCGATTTTTCCTGTTCCAGCTAAAGACAAAAGCAAACAATCTTATCATAATTACAATAAATAAAAATTTCTTACCCGGTCCAGCAGATGCATCACCCATAATTAAATGAAATGATTGTGTTCATGTAATATAACATTTATAAACAAAAATATGAAATAAAAAATATAATTTTATTCTTAATTAACCTATCAGTAAGTGGTGTAATAACAAGATGTAGTTGAAATCATTCAGATTATGAGGTGATTCGTCATTATACCATTGTTGGCAATGAATATTTGAAAGAAAACTATTTTCTAGCCATTTCCAATATTGATTTATTGTTGAAATCTATTTATTAAAATAAAGTAAATACATTTTTCATTTTTATCAAAGAAATTCAAACCTTTGTATAATCATTATTCATTTGCCTGAATTAAAAAGATTTTTTTTAAATGATTATTTTGAAGAAAAGAATTTTGATTATGATTTGAATATGTTATAAGACAAAGAATTAGAAGAAAACTGATGTAAGTAAGAATTTCTTTAATAATTGACCACATATGTAATTCTCAGGGACGGCGCGACCGGGGGGGGGGGGATTAGGGGGGTCCCCCCCCACCTGTTTCGGAAAATTTTGAATGAAGCTTTCTCCAAATTTGAAAATTTTGGTAGTGCCAATTTTCTCCAAATTTGCGGGATCATTAGGCGATTTTCTCCGATTTTGAAGAACTGTAGACAATTCTCTCTGAATTTAGAGAAAATTCATGTTTATAAACACTTGTTGGGCAATTTTCTTCGATTTTGGAGAACTACAATAAACAGTTTTCTCCAATTTTGGAGAACTACCATACACAATTTTCTCCGATTTTGGTAAACAATAATAAACAGTTTTCTACGATTTTGGAGAACTACAACAGACAATTTTCGCCGATTTTGGAGAACTACTGTACACAATTTTCTCCGATTTTGGAGAATCGCAATAAACAATTTTCTCCGATTTTGGTAAACAATAATAAACAGTTTTCTCCGATTTTGG